TACGTGACCTGTGCGAGACACGGGATATATTTATTTGGGGATTATTATACTATAAGATGCAATATTCAATAAAAGTTTTATAATACAAGAAAATAAATATAAATAATGTAAATATCTAAATACATACACGATATGTGGAATAAATAAACCAAATTGCAAATCTAAAAATATAATTTAAAAAAAAATCAAAAATATATTTCACTAAACATGTACAAAAAAATCTAAATACATACACGAAAAAAAAATATACGTTTCAAATTTTGAAATTAAAACAAAAATTCAAATATTTTGTCTTACAGTTTTATCATGCAGAACCAACTCGATATATGATTTGTATGTGCTACCCCAGTCTTGGAAAAACATTCTCACAATTCGAACTTTGAGCATAGGTCTATTAGACCTATTGACTTGTTTGATTAACCCAAATCCTTGATTCATTGTTTTGAATAAAATACTGACTGGGGATATTTTTTGTTCCCAGGAAGTTGATAGTGAGGAAGATGATGACTCGATATTTTGAGATTTGTAATTTATAATGGGTAGAGTAGATATATATTGTTGTTAATATTTTTATTAGAAGATCTGAATTTGAATATATAGAAATCGGTTTGAACAAAATCAGAACTGATTTCTATACAATTAGATAATAAATAAAGCTTTTTTTTTTTTATTTTAGTAAAGATTTTATGTATTTTTTTTACTTATAGGATGTTATGGGGTTTTTTTTGTTAAACCGGTTTTATGGGATATAATACAAATACAATTAGAGAATTGAACAAAATCAGAATAGATTTCCATACAATTAGATAATAAAAAGAAATTAGATAAGGAAAAGAAGGAATTAAATAAGGAATTTTGAATATGTATTTTTTTTGTATAGATAGACTTTACGTATAAATTTTGACGTCACCGATTTTATGAAATTTGTTTTGACATAATCGATGTTAATATGGAATAAGACAAATAAAGAAAGTCTTTTTTATTTTAGTAAAGATTTTACGTCCTTTTTTTTTTTACTTATCAGACGTTATGAGATTTTTTTTTTCTTGAACTGATTTTATGGGATATAAGACAAATAAATAAAATAATTAAATAAAATTCTGGATAGAAATAACAATGCATTAATTACGTTGATTTTTAACATACTAAATTTGGTAAATAGGATACCTTATTATATAAGTATAGATTTTGATTATTTGTGCTCACCCGATTTTATGGGATTTTTTATGTCAAGATAAGAAGGATTAAAAATTAGAAGTTCAACATAAATTTATAAGAAAGATTTTTTATGGGATTTACGTAAAGAATTTTTTATGTTAAGATTTATAAGAATGATTTTTTTTTTATGTCAGCATAAATTATTAATGCATTAATTACTACTTTATAAAATTAGAAGTTGATTAATTAAGTTTGATTTTTCTACCTACTATATTTAAATAGGATCCCCTTTAGGGTAAATAATATTTTCCAACCTGTACTATACGTGCTTTTGGGATTCTCAACCTAAAGTATTATTTGTTGTAAAATGCAACCTGGACTATATATACAATCACTATTTGCACGCTCGACCACATCTTGACCATACACGTGTTCTTTTTTGCTGTTGATCGAACGGTCAAAAAGTACTCGAGCGTGCAAATAATTGTATATATGTAGTTCAGGTTGTATTTTACCAACAAAATACTTTAGTTTGAAAATCTGAAAAGCACGTATAATAGAGGTTGAATTATTTACCCTCCCCTTTAATATTTAATATAAGTATAGATTTATTTAATATTTTGATATATAAAGGTTGTACCTTTGCCTTAGGTCTTGCGCCATTAGCTTTTTTCCATTGTTCTTTCTTCCCTCTCTATCTGGGTTTCATTTTACTCTGCTAACTCTTCTTTTCCTCATAAGGGATTTTGCCAAAAGCAAAGGTTTTAAGGAGTTTTTGTCCCGAAATTTTGTGTTTATGGAGCTCAAAACAATGGTGTTGGGTCACTTCTTGGTGGCCTCCTTGGCTTTGAACGCTGGTCTTTTATACAGAGACTATTGCAATGTGAAACAAGAGTCGCATGACGCTTTCAGCTTCAATGGCAGCTACAAAAACGCGTCTTTGATTGCAAAAAGGACGTTTCTTGAAACGAGTGAAGCGCCTTCGTCTTCGAATGCGATTCTCAGTGAAGCTATTGATCTTGATCAGTAAGCTCCTTAAAGTTTTTGTTTTTTTTTTTTAAATAAAATACAGTATTTTTACAGGAAAAAACAAATGAATAGACATTGAATTTGACTTTGAGATATTTCTTGTTTGATAATCCTTCATTTCTGCTTTAGGTGCGTGAAACTTTTTACCATGATATCGTGTTTTTGAATTAATAATGGCCCAATGAGCCACTTCATTAATAGTGTCTGTATTAAAATCAAATTGATCTTGTAATGATGGCTGATCAAAGATTGAATTTTTTTGTGTTATTGTTGACTCAAAACATCCTTAAAGATGCAAACTTTTCCATTGCACAAGCAGGAAAATAGAATAAATCCATAGTTGAGTTTTAGTGGGTAATGCTACGGTCCTTACGGAACCATTCCCCGACGGTTACATGATGATCTAACGGTTACAAACCCCGACGGAATGGTTCCGTAAAGGGACTGTAGAATTTCCCTAGCTAATGATGCTAGTTAAGGTAAGTGGAATAAATAATGGGGTTGATTAATGAAAATATTTCAATATCTTATTGGTGTGATGATGATGGTTTTTCTCTATACTAATATTTATTTAAATGTCATTACTTAGTTAGTACTTAACTTCTGATATTCTTGACATTTTTTTTTTCTCTTTAAAAATTGAAGTTAGACAGTGCAGTTGCAATAATCAATAATGGTGGGATTCCCTAACGTGCCCTTATAAGGACAATTCATGTTAGAGTACACACTGCAAAAAGCAGATACAGTTATTTGATTTTGATTCTTTCAAATTTTAATCTTTTCAAATTGTTTTGTAGTCCTAAGACATGATGAGGGGCAGAACAGACATTATCATCCTTTCTTGTTTTATCAGCAATTTATTACACTGTATATTATAGTGAGAGTTGATACTGATCACTCTTTAAAAATATAACTCCTACGCAGCTCGATCGTTCTCCAGTTTACGCACTTGATTATTCTGTGTTACTTTTATGAAATGAAGATAATAAATGGACCTCATGTGAGCAAGATATCTGGTGTTTTATGTACTGCATTTGGAACTTGGAAGTTGAACGATAGAGAACACAGAAAAATCGAGTCAGTGTGCCTGTTAGAACGTGAAAAAAATGTAGGATTTAAGCGCGTCCGTTGAAAATGATACCCTGCCCCCAGCATAAGCGTAAAAGCAAATTACTTTATGTCTATTTTAAAACGAGATGCGCCTTGTGTCCTTCCGGAAAAATCTAAAGGTAATTACAATAAAAGATTAGTGAACCGCACTCTAGGACCAATTTTTCAGACACCCACTAGTTGAGGAAGAAAAAAAAAAAAAGGGGGCTGTTTAGGCATGAGTTACAAGTTCTTGGAGCTATTTTTAGGTCTTTGTCTATTCATGTGAAGAATGATTGTGGGGCTGATATTTCACTTGTCCTTTGTCCAATCATTTGATCATATGATTTGAGCCTCAACCCCACCACATTCAAAGCTTAAGAGGAGTGGTGAGGACCACATTTATTTTTTGGACCATTCTTCGTTATGGTGATGTTATGTCATGCAGAGTTTTTAACATGTTATAGCCCAAAGTATTACTCACCTTATGGTCGAATTTTTTTATCCGATAATTTCTCATGTGTAAGGGTAACTACCTAGCATACATGTGAACTGTAAAAATTCGATTTTTCAACTTTTGATTCGACTATTAAGCACTAATGAATAGCTTATGGCTATTCTTAGTTATGGTTATGTTATGTCATGCAGAGTATTTAACGTGTTACAGCCCAAGATCCCGGTTAATTGGGCTTATGAAACTATTTCGCACCTTATGGTCTAATTTGTTATCCGATGATTAACTTCTCATGTATAAAGGTAGCTAGCATGCATATTAACTGTAAAAATTCGATTTTTCAACTTTTGATTCGATTATTACGCACTAATGAATAGCTTTTAGCTAATCTGGATTTTAGTTTGCGGAATGTTACTCACCTTATGGTTGAATTTCTCACCTGTAAGGGTAGCTAGCATACATATGAACTGTAAAAATTCGATTTTTCAACTTTTGGTTCCACTATTACGCACTAATGAATAGCTTTTGGCTAACCTGGGTTTTACTTTCTATCTGCAAACAGATTTAACTTGTGATTATCAACCAGTGTTTTCTTCTGTTCTGCTGCAAATAGATCACTTCTAATATCCACAAAAATTTTTGATTAATTTTTAATTTATTTAGTGGGGATCCAACGATGTACGAGCGGTATTGGCAGCAAATGGGAGATCAAACGACGGTCGAGATTCCTGGCTGGAAATTCATTAGTTACTTCTCGGATAAGACTAAACTCTGCTGGTTTTTGGAGTCGGAGCTCGAAAATGCGATTATCCGTCTTCATAAATTGGTGGGAAATGCAGTTACGGAAGATCGGTACATGGTGGTGGGGACGGGCTCTTCGCAGCTTTTTCAAGCCGTGCTTTATGGGCTTGCTCAGCCCAATTCATCGGAGCCCATTAGTGTAGTGTCTGCTGCACCATTCTATTCTGTAAGTCCACCTTTTTTCTCTTCCTCTTTTTTCATTACAAGAATACCCATGAGGTCTAGTGTAATTACAGAAGAAACCACTTATCTTTGGAAAAATGCAAATACTATCCTGGAGGTTTGTGTTTACCTAGAAAATACCCCTATTTTTTTTTTTT